CGGGCGCGCTCGTATGACGTCACGGCCGGAGCTCCCGCGAGCGTTGGGGAAGGAGCGGGCGCCATGTTGGGTCCGTTAGAGGGGCGAGGGGTGGCAGCGCCCTGTGCTGCACTTGGGCCACATGCAGCCGCGCAGCACTGCAGGCCGGGGCAGGGGCTGGAAAGAGGCCCAGTGGAAAAGAGCTGGGGGTGCTGGTTGACAGGCAGCTGAACCTGAGCCCGGGTGGGCAACAAGGCAAATGGCACCTTGTTTGTCAAAACGTCTGGGAAGCAGAACCAGGGTTGGGATTGTCCCGCTGTGCCAGGCAGTGGTGAGGCCACACCTCAAGTGCTGTGTGCAGTTCTAGTCCCCTCACTTTAAAATTCTACTGAGGGGCTGGAGAACAGAACAGAGCTGGGATGGGGCTGGAGCCCCCGGAGGGGCTGAGGGAGCTGGGGAAGGGGCTCAGGCTGGAGCAAAGGAGGCTCAGGGGGAATTTCTGGCTCTGCACAAGTCCCTGGCAGGAGGGGACAGCCGGGGGGATTTGGGATCTGCTCCCAGGAACAGGGACAGGAGGAGAAGGAACGGCCTCAGGCTGGTCTAGGGGAAGCTCAGGTTGGACATTGGCAGGAATTTCTTCACATAAAGGGTTCTCAAACATTGGCAGGGGCTGCCCAGGGAGCTGGTGGAGACCCTGTCCCTGGAGCTGTCCAAGGAAAAACTGGACATGGCACTCAGTGCTCTGGGTTGGGGACAAGGTGGGGATCAGGCACAGGTTGGACCATCTGGGAGGTCTCCAAACCAATCGATTGTTTGATTCTGTGGGTCCCTCAGAGAGAGGCCAAAGCTGTGCTGACTTGCGATGCAAATCCTCCATCTCCCCCCACCCCTGGCTGCACAAGGGGGAGACGCCTTCCTGCAGCCCTGCCCAGCAGGAACCAGCTCCAGCACACCTCCAGCTGTCCAAAACCTACACCAGAACTCACTCAGGACAAAGCAGGCTTTGAGATTCTACTAAATGAAAGGAACACTGCGACAAGCCAAGTAAAGCAGGAGTGTTTCAATTATATTTTACTCTTCATTAGATTGTTCATTTGAATGTTTGTATTACAAAATTAGCTGCCATGGCCCACAACTGGATGGGACTTCAGGAAAGCTGTCCAGTTACTCAAAAGAGCACAAATTAGTATTTCCTTTCAAAGAACTCTGTGAAACAATAACATATTAGTCTTTAAAGCTAAATAGTGCTAAAATTTCACATAATCGACATTAATTTTGGTTTTAAATAATTTTACCAACCATTATAAAATTAATGTATTTGCATTTATCAGGTTACAGACATTTGCATTTCAATCAGGGTGAAGTATCCCATGCTGGAACAAGGAGTTTAAGCAATTGCTGTTTCAACAGCAGCTAATTCTTATTGCCTCAGAACCAAGTTTCCACAAAGTATTGAACAAGAAAATGCAGGACATTGTTTCCCCACAAAACTGTTAAAAGTCTGTTACAAGCAACAATAAAATGCCTTCTGGACAGGAAGCATTTATAAAATGCAGAGCTCTCCCAGCGAAGTGCTTGCACAGGGCATTCACTTCATTCTTCCCATTTAGATTCAAAACCCTGAAGGGATCACTGACCGGCTGAAGAGGACAAATATCCTCCGAAACATTTCCACTGGCTTGGGGAGATTGGGAACTGCAGGTACTCCACTAGATCTGGTTCCTGGCTGAACAGGGCAGCAGCTGCTGAGATCAGGAGAGAAGGGGTTGAGGCAAACTTTAACAGTTAAAAATATTGGAGGAAAGCTGGTTGAATTGCTAACTCACCATGCACTCACTCCTGAAGGAACACTGTGCTGACATCACAGATTCCAAATTGTTTTAAGTTAGCAGCACCCAAACACACAAGTAGGAGACTGTCCATGTATTCCATTCCCTTGGTTCTCACCATCTCTTTGTTTTACACATAAGCCAATCATGCCCACGGGTGACCTAATACTGCTTCAGGACCCTTGTAAAAAAAATGAAGATAAAAAAATCTTCTACTTCTATTAGAACATCTATTCTACTGGGCTTAAATCCCTGAAGAATCCATACTGTGTATGGAAGGCTCTAAGTGTTGTGCCTTGATGCAAATAAATGCACAGTAAATGTTTATTGTGCAGTTTTCCTCCCCCTAAGTTTTTGCCCTTTCCCTCACTATAAACTAAAACCAAAGTTTAAAACCAAAGCATGAATATGTTACCAGCACACATGGACAGATTTACAATCTTCTGTTTTTAAGGAACAAATGACAAAAAGCATTCAAGAATATTGCAATTTTTTTTTTTTTTAACAGACAAGTAGCAAAATTTTGTACCACCTGGAACAGAACTGCTGAGACAAAGCTCTCCACACATTTTGCTGTAATACTTAAATAAGTATTTAACACCAATGCAAGAACTTTTCTCTTAATGGTTACTAGTATTCAAGAAATCAGAGGATTATGGAGTTACATAGGTCTTTGTACCCTGTGAATTACAATTCCACAGGTGGCACCAAGACACTTCTCACAGCACAGTCACATGGCTTTCACTTTGATTTGCTTCATCTTCATCTGCTTCTTCTCAAGCTTCTTCTGCTCACGCCGCAGAGCAGCTTCCTGTAGACAAGGACAGGGATCTGAATAAACACAGGAGATCTCTTCAAGGCACAAGCAGATCATTTCAGAGACAAACAAAGCCACCCAGCACTGGATTCACATCTCACCAGGAGCCTTCATGTGTTTCAGAAAGGAGCAGCAAATACCATGACAGTTGTCTGCCCTCCAGCAAATAGAAATCAATGTTGCCATTGCTACTATACCTACAGGCAGCCCTGGAGCTCTCCTGGGAGGGATCTGCCAGCAGCCTGTCCCAATGTGAACATCCCCCTCACCTCCAGCCGACGCTGTTTCTCAGGATCCTCTTCGTTCATGATTCGCTCCTTCTCTGCCCGTTTCTTCTCCTCCCGGCGGGACTGGGCAGCCTCCTGTCTCTGCACATGAGTCAGCTTCAGGAAGTTCTCTTCCACACGAGCCCTGTTCTTGTCAGCTTTTTGCTTACCCTTTGCACAGAGAAAAGCAAACGCAGTTTGTACTGATTTTCCCACAAGCAGGATGCAGGATCTCTACCAGTCATACAAGAAACATACGGATCCACTGGATCCATAAGGACCCAGTGGTAATGGTTCCAGTTTCATTCGATGTTCAGAAGACAGAAAACCACTTACTTCTCTGTTCAGCCGGAACTTCTTTGCTTTGTCAATGGAGTAGATAACCATGCTCATCAGAGGCAGCAAAGACTCCATGTCCTTTGGGGAAGTGTTGCCTGAACCAGGCACTGAAATAAAGAGTTCCTTGTTCATTCACATAGACTGGCAGTACTTGTCTGCTTGCTGTGATGCTCTTCCCATATGGCTCACACTGTTCATAGAATACTGATGCTCTAATCCTGCTCTTTAGGAAGCTCCTTTTGGAGCTATGGGCTTGAATTTTGAAGAGATTTGAAGATCTATTCTTTTCTAGAATTCTCCCAACAGGCCACTTTTATTTCAAACCTGGGTAAACCAAGTGAGCCTGTGCAAGTTCAAACTGCAAGGCTTGTGGTTTAAATACAAACCACCCCAAGAGAGAGGAGTGCAAGCTGAGTTCAATAACAGCAAGACTGACTGTCCTGTTATGACAGTGTGCTGCTCAGTCCCCAGTGTATTGCTGCTTTCTGTTTATCTGTCAGTGATCCTGCTACATGCACTCAAGTCACTCATCACACATTATCTTCCACAGGTGACATATTGTGAGCATGTGACTTAAAACACTCCCCCAGACACACACAGACAACAGTTCCCTTACCATTAAATGTAAACAGAAGTGTCTTTTTAGTTTCGGGCAGTTTTGTAAGCTGGCCCTCCCTGGAGGAAAGAAACAAGTGTTTGGAAGGAGTGAAGAAAAATACAAAGTAACTAACATTGGTCGGAAAAACCTCATCAAGAACCAAAAGGCACTTGGGAAGTACTTGAATAAAATCAACATTAAAAGCCTGGCTATAACCCCAAGTTTCAAACAAATCAGATTTCTGATTTTTTTTTTCCCCCAAAAGCCTGCAGAGAAAAGGCATGAGTGTGAAAATGTACATCACCAGCTCCCCTGACTCAAGAGGGCATGTGAGGACTAAGAAGGCTGGCCTGTATATTTTGAATTACATTCAGCTTCACACACCCCCTTGTTGTTTGTATCATTAAAGGTATCTTGATATTTTAGAACAAAATATTTTCTCAAGAGTTTAAGTATTCACTGCCCAAAAACCCACAGTATTCTAATGTAAAAATCTCAGGCCTACATTTCACAGATCCTCCACAATTTTAGTACAAGGTACACACATATGCTGTCTTCTAATTAAGTCAAAATATGTTCCTTCATATTCATTTACTTATCCACCTGTGAGGATAATACACCCTTGCAAAAACCTACGTTGTAATTCAGATAAGACACACCACCTGTCACTTGGCAATTCTGAAGCAGCTCCTGAAAGCACCCCTGGACTAGGAGGCCCAGGGAAGCAGCAGAGCTGTGTATTGCTGTGTATTGCTGTGGCACAGCTGAGAATCAGCCTGAAGAGAGCTCGGCCTTTATACCTACTCTTGCATAAGTTTTGGACCGGAGAACTGGTCCGAGAATTGGACGGAGTCAATCTTGTCAGCGTAGTGTGTGAGGAAATGGATCATCTGAAAGAGAAACAGGGATTAGTTTCTCCCAACACCAATGCAGCAGCAGCCTACCCACTCCATAGGGGTTTGCCAGGTTCCCTGCCCATGGCACGGGGCTGGAACTGGATGATTTTTAAGGTCTCTTCCAACCAAAACTATCCTACAGTTCTATATATCACTCAGTAAATTGCTGTGCCAGCTTGCCACAATGACACTGATAAAAAGACATGAACTTCCCCCTTTACCTTTTGCTTTTAACTTTTTTAGAACCAGTTGTAAACGCCAGGATTACCAAGGAGCATTTGTATTAATTCATTCAAGTTTACCTTAGCGTCCATCATTCCCTCCGTGACCTCTCCCATCTCTGACAAGATAGCCAGCGAATCTGGAAGCCCATATTTTGCACCAGACTTAGGTTTATCACTGCAGAACTCACTCTGTTTCAAAGAGAACAATGCAAAAGAAAAATAAATATAAGCCTGTAAGTATCTTATCAGACTGAACTGTTCTGGAACAGTGGGACTTCTAGAAGTACCTGAAAATACACTCATTCACTCATCCTGGCTGGGGACATTTCAAACAGAGTAAAGCACACAACATCAACAGTCTTTAAGCTAGTATTCTCCTTCAGAAGTCAGCACTTTAAGGAAGAAGATAAAACTATTCTAATACATACAAACTGGAATGTTCAAAGTGGATTAAGGCATTTTGCTTACATTGTGATAACAGAACAAAAACTGGCATCCTACCAACCACACTTCATGCTGTTACTTGAAAGAAAAGATTTGCAAAGCATTGCTTGTTATCACTGGATTCTTTGCAAGCTCTGCAATTCTTTTCACAGCTTGAACATATGGAAAATTTTAATTTCAGTTCATGTAAAAACAGATGATTAAACCCACATTTTCCACATCACATATCACTAATTAAGTTTACTTTTCAATCCTTGAAGATGTCTTTTGTGCAAATTAAATGAGGTGAAATGACACCCATATATGCTGACAAAATTCTGCAGCCTCTCTTAAACCAGCTATACCCCAAAAGAAAGGTGTAAGCTGCTTCCAGTGCCTCTTCCCCTGCAGGTCTGACAGGGGGGAGCACTCTGATATTTGATTCCATTAGACTTTTATCTGTAGATGGAAATGTCTTTTACTCACAAATTTCAACAGTTCAGTCACAGGTTTTCAGCTGTTCCCAAGAAAACAATGAGTATGCAGATTAGATTCTTATATGCTATTATTTATCAAAGTGCATGTACATACCAGGTCCTGCATCTCTTTCTGAAGTCTCACCAGTGCTTTTCTGGTTCCAACAGCAAACACATATGTGTCCATATCTTCATCATTCATTGTCACTTTTATTTGCTGTGAAACAGAATATTATTAGCCCTGGTCAGATCTCAATGTTTGTCTGATACTTTGATTCCTAAGAAGAAGGACTAATCAAGGACAGACACAGCTAAGAACAAGGTGGTTGATTTAAAGCTTTTGAGTGTGTCATAAAATAAGGAAGCTTTTTAATTGGACTGAGCATACCATTCAGTATTGTGCTGTAATGACAGTGACTAAAACAGCAGAGTTGTAAAAATAATTTGCAATTAAATATTCTAAGTAAATACAATTATAGATGCATGGGAAGAGTATTCACAGTGTACACAGTCACTGTTCTTCCAAATGTATCTTCTCCTGGCACTTATGCTCTCTAAGAGCAGGTGGGAAGGCAAAAAGTAACATTAAGAATATAATATCCAGACCAACATATGGGTTTAAGCACCCCTGTTGAAGCAGACTGAACAGACAGATGAACAGTCACTAAGTATTTCAGATTGTAAAACCACTTTTTATCAAGATGACATCTTGAATCTTGATAGACTGCTCACAAAACCTCTTGAATGATAAAATCCACAGATAAAGCAATTTCCAGTCACCAGCAGTTTGCATTTCACAGACAGGAAAGAAATACAAACAATTCTTTGAAGTTGTTTCAACAGTTACTGAACTGGAAGATATGGAATACTACAGAAATCGCCTGGAACAATCAAAAGCAGCAGAGCAGAACCAAAGGAATGCAACAGTTTATAAGAGCTAAGCTGAAGAGCTGAGTACGCACCACTTGGTCTGACGCCGGCCTCATCATGCGCGCCAGGACATTCAGCAGGTCCTGCCTCTTGAGAAACTAAAAACACAAGGTGGCAAACACAGAACACAGCTGAATAGACAACAGTAAAAAACTCCTTCCTAATACCTAACCTGAGTTTTCCCTGTATGACCAACACAGCTCAAAAGCAGGCCCACTTTCTGCATTGGAGGAGTTTCTCAGGGCTTTGCTCCCACAGGTCAGAAGATGAACTGTGGGACTGTTCCATCCCAGGTACAGGGTTTTATATCTGTCTTTGCTGAACTTCCTTGGAATTCCTGCTGGGCCATTTATCTCTCTAAGTGGCAAATAGGCTCTTCAGCCTATAGTTACGTCAGTTCACACTACAACTCTGGTTTCTATACTTTTCCTGCAAGCACTTGCTCTTTGGTGCCAACTTTAAGGGGCAGAATACAGACCTTCAGATGACCAGTTTTCCCTCGTGTGTGTGTACTCAGAACTCTGTGTCTGAATGTGAGCACAAATGCCAGGCTGGGATTCCATGTTGCTCACACAGAAATGGAAAAGCCTCTAGAATCTGACAACAGGTGACACGAAAATAGCACCACAAACTCTCTCATTCTTACCTTTAACTGGATGAGCATTCCTTCACAGCACACCCTTCCAGAGCACCACAAGTTATATATGTGTTCATTTTCTTGATTTAGTTTCCCAGTGCTGGTAGCTTCTTTATTAGTGCCATCATCCCCTGAGGAAAACAACAGTGAAAGAGAACTGCAATCTAAACTCACAAATTGAGACACCATAGTTCAGCAGAAGGCTTACAGCTCATGATACCACAGTACAGAAAAGGATTCTCTACAGCCTAAATGCCAGTCTAAACCCAGCTTTATTCAAATAGTAAAACTGGATCCTTGTCATTATGGAACTCACCAACAAGAGCAAAGTTACTTTCTAGCAGCTCCCTGTGAGTGTTGAACCAAGCATGAGCCAGGCGGTTGTTTTTGTTCTTCCCAATGATGTAGTTCATGATGTAAGCCAGGAGACCTGTTACCATCAGGATCTCCATGTAATAACTCTCCCAGCTGTTCTGAAGGTGAGCAGGGACCTGTGTAAGGGAACAGAAACTGTGATTTACATACTGAACAAGCAGATTTTATACACACAAAAGTTTGGGAAACATGGAGTAATGGAGAAGTTCCATCCCCAACACAGCAATAAGCTTCACAAAGGCAACAGGAGAGAACTAAGCCTACATAATGCACTTGGCTTACTGGAGCACAGTAATCAATCACAGAAAACAACTGATAACAGCAGTCCCAAAATACCTACTTAATACAAAAAAAGTACTCACTTCCAAGTGAGCCTGGGCTAGCACACATCCCTCAGAGTAAACAGCCCAGCACTTCAATTCACTGAGCATTTGAGCTCAATACCCTGCCCATCACAGCATTATCTGATCGTTGTGTAACTTCTCTGCAAATCCAAAGCAACAACCAATGCCAGGAACATTCTCAGGATGCCAGCAAGAGCCACAGATTCCATGGGGCAGCAGGGAAGTCTTCCTGACCTCGCCAGCTCAGAGACTAATTAGACATTCTGCTATCACTGTATCACCCTTGAGTCATAAAAGTACCCAAACCTTAATTTTCACAGCCAAGGTCAGCTATAATACCTAAAAAGATGTCAGGGGTAATAAAAATGCAGACTTTGAGCACCTGATCATTCTGTGAAAGATTGCTTTGGGAGGCAAAAAAGTGATGCAGGGTGGGCAGAGAAATTGGCTTCAAAAACCAACAGAGTTAACAAGTTCTAATTTGACACTTAAGCCATAGACAAGCTAAAAGCACATTGTGTTCATTGTTTAGTACCCCAGTGATATCTCTGGCATACTGTCCTAATAAGTGATGAAACTCCGAATAGATACTGGATCAACATTTATACCTACATTAACTATTGTTATGGGATCTTTATTTTTGCTATGAGATGCATCTGGTTTCTCTTCATACCCCTCAAACTCCTCATCATCATATGGTTCACTCTCGGTGTCACTTTCCTAAAGGACAAAATCACAAACAGCATGAAAATCCAAAGCCCAGCAAGTAAAATCCAAAAAGAGAAAGAAAGGTGCAGACACTATTAGGAAACATGAGGAAGGAGGCAAGGCCTTACCTGTGTGTCTGCGTCATCAAAGTCTTCCTGATTTTCATCCTGACCTTCAAGCTCTACAGTAGCTTCTTCTTCATCATCTTCTGTAGTGATGATCCTCTGAGGAGACTCTGTGACTGTATCTTCACTCACATCTTCAAATTCAGCAAAGTCATTATCATCATATTCCATAATGTCATCTCCATCCTCAAATTCATCATACTTTGCCAAAGAAAAGCTCCATGGGATGAACAGGACAGCGATAAAAATATATATATTCTTCATTTTCACTGGGGAAAAAAAATAAATCAACCACTGCAAAAAGTCTTCATCAATTCTGTTACATCACACCTCCAGTAACCCCCAACACACAATGCAGAATTTGAAAACACTAGAGTCAGACCAGAGAAATAAACCCCTGCCTGATCTTGCCATCTTCTCTATAAAGAATTTGACCACTGAAACAAGAACAAAATAACTCTGAAGGAGAGGTTCTGGACTCCGTTGCTTGTGGCAGCAGCAAATTCACATCTGGCCACACTGTTCAAACGAGCTGAGATGGAAAGCAGAGATGTTCTGCTACAAAACTGATTCTCCAACAGTACCTCCCAGCCAGAGCTGCCAGCTCACTTCCAAGTGTCACAATCTGCATTTACAGTTGTTACTAACTAGCAATTGGGCACAGTCGGAATTTTGAATGTGTAACAGCAGCAGTAAATCCTAAAATGCACTTGATACATTTAAATATCACTGCTCTGATAGTCTCTGCTAGCCCAAAAGTGCTCATCCATGATTTTCTAGGGTGCACAGTCCGAACTAAGTCCCACAGTCTGCCATCATGATTTCTGCACAAAGACCATTTACTGGAAGTTGTGCAAAAAAAAAAAAAAAAAAAGAAGAGGACAGCTATTGCACTGCTCCCCAGAACAGAAAGGCATAAACTGGAGCTCACGAGCCCAGAGCTCTCTCCACATCAGCCAGAACCCTGCAGAGTTTGGCAGCTCACTTGTTTTGCCCTCAGCTTCCAGTCTTTTCTGCTTGAGTTCAAAAGAGTCCCAACCTCCCCTTCAGGTTGGGGCACCTTCTCCAAGGTCCAAAAAAGGCAGCAACAACCCCTCAGATGCACTTCACGACCAGGCACAGAGGATCAGCTGCATCAGGCTTTGCTGTCAGGCTCATTTTACCTCCTCCTGCAAGCAGATCCAAGTGGGAACCTGAATGTTAATCAGAGTGTTCTCTCGTAAACTTAGAATAGAAATGATTTGTTTCTAAATTTGACCAGCATTCCTCTGAGTGCCTCACACAGGGAACCCACTGCTATGAATGACAAGGATGACTAAAATAAATACCTTTGTCAAACACTCCGCACTCCAGCAAAAACCCGCACAGAACACAGTCACAGAACCTTAACAGGATGGAAAGTTCAGCAACGCCAAGGCCAGGAATTTGGAATGTTGTGTGGGAACGTCACAATTTTATGTGAATTTAAGCAGGAAAAAACCCCCAAAATACTATTTCGATAGGACGGAATTTGCAGTCTGTTAAAAACGACAGGACAACAGAGCCACCTGCTCCACCAAACTCTAACATTTCACAGTAAGTATTCCAAGACTTTTTGAGCACATCCACTTTCAGAAGACCCGACAGCTCCAAAGAGCTTCATGTAAAATAAACTTCTGCAGCCAATTCGAAGGATACAGTGGAACCAGAGGTGGATGAGAGCTGGAGCACGCCCTCAGGTCACCAATCTGACAGAATGGGTTTCAAGTACAAACTCCAGGAAGCAGAGAGAGTATCCTCGGCAGGTCCTCCACGACCCACACGCCACCGACTTTCCCTTGCAAAAGGAACCGATTCATTCTCCGATCTCCACACCGGCTGCCCAGACCCCATCGGCAAGAGAAACCACTTCCCACAAAGCCAAATACTGCTGCTGCTCCCTGTGCTGAACATGCACCAGCTCGGGGCTTGCTCGGGGGATCTGGAGCCTAGACCCGAGCTCGGTGGCAGATTTTGGAGAAATGCCCGTCCCCAGCAGGTCGGGCCTCACCGTGACCCCCGCCCGGCGGTGTTCGTTATCCCGCCGCTCCAGGGGCGCTCCCAGCTGCTTCCCGGAACACGAGCCAAGGTTAACAAGATAAAATCAGCGATCTGCCGCCCCTGAGCGCGGCCTCTCTCACATCCCCAGGGTGGACCCCCGGCCCCTCCGCCAGCTCCTCCCGCTCCGCGGGGCGCAGCGCAGGCCGCGCACACCCGGTGCCCTCCGCGCCAGGCTTCCCCTCAGGGGACTCTGCCGGTACCGCACTCCTCGGAGGGAGCGAGCCTCGCCCGGCCGCCCCGGGAGCTGGCGCGGGGTGTCCCGTCCGG